TTTGAATTCCATATAATTCAGGTTTCCATTCTTCTAAAAACTTGATAATAATTAGTAGTTTCTTATTATAAATCTTATAATTGCATTTGATAATACTATATTTTAAGGAAAGTATATAATTAGATATAGTCGGTTTTTATTATTATATTAAAAAAGTATTCTGTCTATAATCTAATCAGAAGTATTTGTCTCAACAATTGTATAGTGGTGGTAATCAAATATTATAAGAACTGGAATGAAGATAAAGATATACTTCAGGTTTTCAAAGACATTCTTTTGATTAGTAATCCAATTCTATATATTCTCTTTTTTTAATAGGTGGTTTAAAGATTTTATAATTTTAGAAAAGTTATAAATGAAGTGTTAATAAAAGTTAATGAATCCTAAAAAGCATTAAAGATCTTTTAGTTTAATTAATAACTTCTATTCAAGAATAATCTTAATCTTATTAGAGTCCATTTCGATACTATTAAAATAATAATTAGGCCGAAATATTTCGTTTTTCTCATTTCGAATTTGCATTTGTTAATATCAATTTGTAATTTAATATCAATAAATCTCTAAACAATTTTGTAAACTTGCTTTCGATAATTTATAACATTCTTAGAGTAGATTAAAATATTATTTAGATATATTATATAATTCTTATCTAAAAGATCAAAAAGAATATAATTAATATAATTCTGAAATAAAATAGAAGTATTACAAAGACCAAAAGATATTATTAAGAATTCGAATAAACTGAAACAAGTTATAAAAACAGTTTTCTATTTGTAATCTTTTGTGATTCATAGTTTATTAAATATAACAATAATATCCAATTTGGTATAAACTTTAGTATAATATAAAGTATCAAGAATTTCTTTAATCAATAACAATAGATAACAATTCTTAATAATAATATTATTTAGTTTACAGTAATCCTAGTAAATTCGAATGCTCTCCTCAGGCTTTACAGTTAAAAGGAATAAAACAGTTGATCGAAAATGGGATTCGCGAATAAATTCTTTATTTAGATTATTATCAAGCTATTTGTAAATAACTTAAAACTTAACTGGGGATATTAGGCAACCTTTATTATATAAAAACTTTTTATTTAGTATAATTTCAATCTTATAATCCCAAGAGTATTATAATAAGAGCTTGTTGATAAAAAAGGATAAGAATTCAGTAAATAGATTATAAAGCTAGGGTAATAGCTTATTCTGAATTTTTATTATAAATAGTATAGATTAATCAGTCTTTTCCATGAACTTTTTGATATCGCTTTCCATAATACTGTAATATAGTTAAATAGGATTATTTGTTATTATATGGTATAATTTGCAAGCTCTATCTAATTTATTCTAGATTACTTTTGTGATATAAGCTTCCTAATCTTTATAGAATTGAATAAAGCTATTAGTTATAAGGAACTTTATATTGTTTATTTTCTGTTGGATATTTTGTAAGGTATTAGTCGATTTCTTAAAGGACTTTTATAGCAATAGAGGATTCAATAAAAATAAAATGTTTTAATTTCATAACAGTCTTTTATATATCCTAGAGTCTGCAATAATTCATATTAAAACTGGTTTCAGAATCAGCCGGTTTAATATCATCTTAGTGTAGATCTCTGTTTTTCTGTTGATTCGATAAGTGTAGCAGCGGTTTGAATTAGATAGCATTGGATTAGCAGGATTTATATTGTAAAGATTTCTATCAGTATTCCTTTTTATAGTTGAAATCGGAGGATTGTATTCCAAAAATATCGATTGGTCTTAGGGTGAGAAGGAGGGAGTCTGGAGACTTTTATCAATAACTTTTTTGGTAAAAATACAATATAGAGTTAAAATAGATTTCTTCAAAGTAGACTTCAAAATAGACTTCCTAATAGATATACATAATATTGGATTGAGCACTGTATCTACTGGGGTCAGTATATCATTACAATCAGGGATAACAGTTGTAGCAGAATTAATTAGGTAGCAATATCTGAAGTAATATATAGATATAAACTTAAGAGTTATTATTACCCAATTAATAATAAAGTTATAGTATTAAAGCTATAAAAGATCAAGAATTATAGAATCTACATTGGAAAGATTAATAATATAGAATAAGCCAATTTCTTTATAATTATTAATCCATAAATTTAATAATATATATTGAGATAGGATATCAGAAGTCCTTCTATCTATAAATAATAGGTTGTGGATAGTAGAAAGGGAATATATAGAAATATCAAGCTTGGATATAAGAGTTCTATTTATAAACCCATATCCTATAGCTTCATTATTTATTAAGCCAATAAATGGGATAATTATATTAGATATAAGGAAAATTTCCATTAAGATTTTAAGAGATTTGCTATTCATTATTCTAAAATATAAAGGATCCCTAAATATAATCAATCTCTTAATTCACAAAGGCAAACTTTTTATAAAGAATCTTGATTTGCAATTATAAATCAAGATTAGTCTTTTAATATGTTTGGCTAGGGAATTGAATTTCTGCTATTATTCAAATGTATAGAGTTTTTAATGAATCTGCTCAGATCTTTGTTATTAATAGGAATTGGAGAGGTGTATCGAAATAGTGCTGTGGTAGTTGGGAAACGATTAGTAGATAGGAATGTATTCTAGTAAATAGAGCTATAAGCGTTGTGATAGGGTTCGGGATTGTGATAATAATCAATAATAGGAAAATAATGAATATTCGGAGTGTATTGGTTTGTGGTAGGAGGATAATCGGGGTATTATATAATTCCTGAATTAATATTATATTTTGTATTGTTATATCGCTTTTCTTTATAGTTGAATTTGATATAACTAGGCTTTTTGTAATAAAAACAAAGGCTAAGATCTAGATATTATTCTTTATTATAATATAATAAGAATCGCTAGCCTTAGCAAGCAGTATCTAATTATATAGAATCTTCAAAGGGATTAGGTATAGATATTACAATAGTGATAGCAGATTTCTTTTTATTAGGTTTTTTCTAATTACTAAAATTGATATCTTGATTCTTATATTGATTATCAAGATAAATCTTTTCCTCTAAATCATTATAGATACCTTATTATTAGACTACCTATATATCGATATTGGCAATAAAAGGTTTATTGGGATGATTAATTAAAATATTAATTAATTTTTATAAAACTTTGAGTTTAAAATCAGTAACTTATTATTTGATAGTTTTCTTATATTTAATAGCAAATTACTTGAATTCAATAATAAAGTTACTAAATAGAATCTTCTTTATTTTATATTTATTATAATTTATAAAAGCTTTGTATAAGAGATCTAAAATCTGGTATTACTTATTTAATTTATGCTAGATATCTGCTACAATACGCCATTTAAAGGGCCAAAGATTGGAATTATATGTATTATCTATAATTATATCAAAATGTATTTGATTATTTGTATAAATAAAGCTAGAAAGTAGATTAACAAGAAATATGATTTTCTGAAATTCTGATTCATTTTTATAATTTACAGTTAAATAGTGATTAATTATATTACAAAAAGTTATATACTAATCTTAATGCTTTATAATATCTTGTTTATTATTATTGAACTTTTTAGAAACAGTGAGATATTTATGATGAGATAAAGCTTATGAATTATTATAAATAGTAATCTTTAATATCTTAATTATATCTTTCAATTCAATAATCTTTAATTAAATATTGGTGGCTTGGGTTTGAATAGTAGTAGTTTAGGCTTATAATAAGCTTGTAATTGATTTAATTGATTTAAATATAGTTTGAGTGATAGCGAAGTATATAGTATTTGGATTATTAAATAAATCTGTAAAAAAAGAGATATCGGCTTTAACAAAATTGAGAATATAATTCAAGAAAAGGAATTGTGGAGATAAGCTAAATACAAATACTTTTGGTATAAATACTTATTCATTTATCTTCAGTACTTTTTGAAGCTTAAAATATCAGCGGCAGGGTGTACAATAAATCAACAATGAATATAATCGGTATGATCGGGATAAGGTATTAATAAGGCTTTGGAAATAAAATAAGAAATAAAACTGTAATAGTTTATTTGAAGATAATATAAATTGTTAAGGTATGGGTAAAGACTTATATTATATTATAAGAATAGAAAAGCTATGGAAAAGTGAAGCCCTACTTATAGGAAATAGGGTATGCTAGTATGCTGTGCCTGAGATATGAAGGCAATTACAGATTATATAGTTGGCGTTGTGATAATCTTTTATTATAATAAACAAACTAAAATAAAAAAAATTAAATAATCTTATATTTTAACTAGAAAAGTATTATATTTTGAGCCAAACTTAGTGCGGGTCACGTGACCTCTTTTTGTAGCTAGTATTTATAGGTCTTCTTTGTATAGTTTAAAAAAAGCAATCAATTCCCATCCACCTTCTTGTATATTTCGTGAAGCACTATGTAGAGTCTCCCTCTCCTCTCCTCCGTCAAAGGCACTACGTCTCAATGACTTATCTGTAATATTTACGAAGGACTACTCTATGACCCTACCACCTTCTACTCTTTTACAATATATGCAATGAGCAGGGATCAGAACTCTTACTTCATTTGTATTTCACTCTTATGAACCACATTCTATCTTTCTCAAACATGATGTTGGATGTTTATATATGTGAAACACTCTCTTGATTGGCCAGTGTCACGAGAGGCTGTTACTTCCTTGCTACACCTTTGATAATTGATCGATCAGGAGTATTCTTTCTCTTGATTGGAATCCTCTCACATTACTTCATTGGGGTATCTTTCATCTATTTTTCATCTATTTCTCGCGCGCATACCTGCGTGGGTCGATTCTTTTTTTCTTGATGAATAGATAATAGAATGGAGGGATGGAAATGATTGTGGGGTAGAAGCATGGAGATGTTTAAATATTAATCCATTCCCATCTCTGTATGATGAGAGATTGATGTTTGTATTTTATTTGATTTTCATTTCCTACCTTTTTTGAACATATCTTCATTCATCTTTACTTTCTTTAACATCGTGATGAATCGCGTTGCTTTGTTAGCTCTGGTTGGCTCCACTTTCGCTTCTCCTATTAAATCGCTCAAGTCGCGTGCGCCTGCTGATGCCAAGTATCTCTTTTCCTTGTACGTATATACTTTACTCAAACAATCAATCAGTGATCGATATAGATGTTAACAACACCAGCGGAGATTCATATTCCGAAACCGGCTTCGACGTCACCAGCACGCAACCCTCTGCTACAAATCCATTCGGTAATCCCGCATTCCCTGGCTACACCACCGACAATGGCATCAATTGGATTGGCCATCTGGTCGAAACCTACAATTCCTCGCTTATCCTATCGTATAATTTCGCATATGGTGGTGCGGTTGTCGACGCCAGCATTGTTGCACCTTATGAAGATACAGTCTTGACTCTCGTCAATCAAACCACTGAATTCGTGGATCATCTCTCGCCTGCCCCAACGGATGCTCCTTGGACGGCGGATAACTCGCTTTTTGCGTTTTGGTTTGGAGTGAACGATCTTGGGAATTCTTATTGGTTGGCCAATGAGACGGATGTCATTACTGCGATTTTTGATAGTTACTTTGCCCAAGTGCAACGTGTGTACGATGCTGGAGGAAGAAGCTTTTTGTTTTTGAATTGTCCTCGTGAGTTGCATACGTTCCTTATTCATCCTTTAAAATTCCCAAACAATAAAAATCAATAGCCGGTGAATATACAAATTCAGAACACTCCCATTCTAACCCCTCTCTCAGCCGTCGATAAATCCCCCATGATGCTCGCCTACGGCGAATCCGTCACCTCCTCCGAAGCCGCCGTCATCAGCGCCTACAACACCGAACTCAACGCCCGCGTATCCGCTTTCAAAACTGCAAATTCCGAAACTACTACTTATGTTTTTGACACGCAAGTTCCATTTAATACGGCTCTCGATGCTCCAGCTACTTATGGGGCTACGAATGCAACGTGTTTCGATGCGGATGGAACGACTTGTCTTTGGTGGAATAATCTGCATCCCGGTCAAGCGATCCAGAAATTAGTCGCGGAAGGTGTGGCGGAGCAGTTGCCGGGGTCGTTTTTTCAGGGGGGTGCGAGTGCGAGTGCTAGTGCTAGTGCTAGTGCTTCGGGTTCTTCCTCCATACCAACTATGGCTTCTACATCCAGCATCCCAACATCTTCCGCCGTTCGAACTTCAAGCCCGACAATAGCTGCATCGCTGGGATCTCGTCTGCGGCGGCGGTTGTAAAGCCTGTTTCTTCAATCTCGAGTATGAAGTCGAGTTCGGTAATGCTCGCTTCGAGTACGTCTGTAGCAGTATTTTCCTCGGCTGAGCCTGTGGTTAGTAGCGCTGCCGCGTCGGCTACAGCGGTTGCTGCGGGTGGGGATGATGAGTGTGAGGCTTAGGGGTTGATTATCTTTGTTTCTTCTCGTTAATCTATTTGGATGGGAACTGGATGTTTAACCTCTTTAAGATACCTGCGCACGTGGTTTGAATATATAAAATTTCTGCACCAGGGATCTGGATTTTGGGAGAGAACAGTGTTGAGCATGGTCATAAGAATCTCCGTGAGAATTTGTATATTGTAGATTTTGGTAGGAGATCTTTTCGTGTATATATTGTCGGGACATCGATCATGTGATCAAAGAGGGCACTGTATTAGCTAGCGTCACGCTAGCGCTACCCTATATTAAGTACTAGCTTCCCATAGATAATAATGATCAAGAACGAATACAACCATATAGATCTAAGTACTTACACTTATCAACCAAGTTGATACCAACATATATATTATAGGAAAACGAATCCGAAATATTTTTGCACTTTGTATCTTTTGGGATCTGAGTTGCTTGGGTGTATAGCATATTTTAGAATTCAACATCTGTGATCTTCAATTTTGAGATTTCGAGGATGAAACTTTTGAGATTTCGGGAATCATTTATTAACGATAGTTTAGAAAAAAGAAATTAATGGGATACAATAATACAGGGTGTTTTATAGTAGATCTAATTCAATAATCTATCTTTCACTTTACGGAGAGAGATATCGTAAGGATAGCACAAAAGGTAGCTGGAAGTAAGTTGCTTTTCCTTTTTTTAATAGTATTTGAACAATGAGATTTGATGATTATAGATAGTATAAGTGAAATATCAGAATTTAAATGATTGTTGAGACCGGGAGTCGGAGATTTAAAGGGGGAAAAAAGACTAAGTAGGAGGAAAAGATTACGGGAATGAATCTTTTGAATTTGAGATTTCTCGATTGAGTAGTTGAAGGATTATTTTTGGTATTTTGTCGTTCTGTTATTCCTATTATCTCTCTTACTTTATCAAATTGTATCGATGTATGGAAAAAATTACATTAAAGAAAATTCGCGAAATTGTAATAGCGAGGAGGTGTTAATGATGCTATAGGTTTTTGGTTTTTGAAGCGAAGTTTATAACGAGTGAACTAAGCGAGATGATTTAGACGATCGCATGTGAGGTGTGAATGATTTGATGAAAGGAAATGAGTGCTTCGAATGAGTAATTGAATGTTGTTGTTTTATTTTTATTTTTATAGGGACTGTTTTATCTTCATGTTTTTAGTTTGTTTTGTTTTGAGAATGCATTTTGAGATGATAAGTTATTTTGCTATGGCTTTGGATAAATTTCGTTGAATTACGGTATATAAATACAAAGCGGGATAACTTAGTGCGAGAATGACTTTTTATTCCACATGGATAGATTAATTGCAGGCTGGCACGTTCAATTCTGAAATCATACAAACTTATGAGTATGTTAGACTATGGTTTATGAACACTATTTCATTATCGATTTAGCTACCTACGATCAGAGCAAGGCAACGAAGTAAACCGACAGAGCAACCTCCCCTTTCCAGATCTCATGAAGACTAAAAATGAACGCTCACATAACCGGGCAGCAGCCTGCACCATTCTCCTTCCTCGTCCTTCCCTTTTCAATCTTCCCCCGTTCTCGCACCAAACTCTTTTTTCTGCGTACCGCCTCGTGCGTACGATCGCGTCCTGCGACGATCCCGTGATATGCACCTTGATCTAACAAGCAATGATTACAGTTTCTACGGATAAAGAGCTCACGATATTCGAAATAGGGACAGTGGTGGGGTTCGGCGGCGGGGGAACACGGTTGTGGGTGGTGCGTTATGTGTCCGCAGGTGTGGGTGTGTTTGATTGAGAGACACATTTTTGGGGTTAGTTGGTTAGGTTAGTGTTTGGTGGCTGGATATGTGGGAATGAGATGGATGTGTAAGGAGTAGTTGGAAGAATAGGTGAAGCTCGTATATATGCTGAAGGATAAATATCATTCAGGGTTGTTCTGATGTTGTCCTGTGATATGGTGGAAGGTTTTGCAAATCTGATGTAAACGGAGAAAAATCAAAATTATCTTAATACAAAACTGCACAAAAGCAATGATCGAATAGATACCATGTTTCTCTTGTTGCCGTTGAGTTCTTGAGCGGGTGAGATGGAGGTTGATCGCGTGACTTATGATCGATTCAATATTGGTGACATGTGCGGTCTATCTAGGTAGGTCATGTTTTAATCATTTAAATATGATTCACCTACAGCCCTATAGCGAGAGTCCGTGCATAACGCGATCAACCCCCTGTAATGGTAGGGCTTAATTCTGCATCAATCCAGTTGAAACAATTTGAAACGAAACATCAACAGTTGGGATTACGCCACTGAAATAAGCCAATCAAAGCCACCTTTTTAATGTTGATATTGGTGCCTAGATGCAGTCTCTACGGCACATAGAAACCTCAGAGTGATTTTCCTACATAAACTGTTGAACAATTCTTCCGATTGCTTTTAATGTGTGATTTCTCGCGCGGATGATAACATGAGATCACATCTCAGTTTGTCTCCTCGAGGATGATAGCGAGCATCGAGATCTTACTTGTTAAGGAAGGAGGGAGGCAAGAGCTTACGATTCGCACTAGTAGAGACACATATAAGCCTTGTCTATCGCCTTAAAGGTTCGAGATTCTTACAACCGCTTTTTTCATGTTCAATTCATATTTGGTCCATTATTTTTGAAATGTTTTTTCGAATATCGTAGTCAATAATGTCATCTATTTATCGCTTATTGTTACCTAGGTATTTATCGGTATTGTGGTATTGGATACAATCCAAAGTCTGGTTTCACAATTCATGAGCAATCAGCAATTCCAAAGAATAAACTCACCAGCTTCACTGATCTGAATCAACTTATCGAGTAACTATACCTCCACCTTTCGATGCTCAACTGCTCAGCCTCTTTTTAGAAACCCAAAATGTCCACCCAACCCACCCACCAACTTCCGTTGGACTACATCCACCTCTTCGACGCACACATCTCCTCCCTCCCAGCAAACTCTCACCGCATTCCACAGCAAAAAGCCCTCCGCACCGCTCAATCCGCAAGATTCTATTCTCCTTCACAACACATCGCTTCTCCACAACTTTTCTCCGTCATCTCCTCGCCCTCTACTCTCACCATTGGCTCTCCATACATTATCACCATGACGCTTCGACACGTCGAAAACCCCTCTGGAAATCCAAATTCTTTGCCTGTGGTCTTTGACCTGCGGGAGTTTGGACTAACGTTTAGCGAGAGAGAGACCAGTAAAATGTACAACTGGATTATACTGAGACAACAGAGTCCAGGCTCTATCGAAGATGGAAGACAAATAGAGGAGAGGAAATTAATTTATCACCTTCAAACCCAACACCCACAGAATTTGGTTTCCCAATCTTCGCAATAGATTCTAATTTTGAGCTCAACGAACTGCAACTCAGCGTGATAGAAAAAGAAGAGGAAGAGTTCATATCACTGGCGGTTGGCGAGAGTAGAACTTTCAAAGTAAAGTAGGCATTGACTGAGGAGCAAGAGGAGAAAATGGAGGTGGGCGAGAAATATAAGTTATGTTATAGAGGGGGATGGAATTTCTGGTGGGATTTTGGGACGGTGGAAGAGATGGAGGAACAAGAGAGCAGGAGAAATACGTGGAGGAAAATGAAGAGTGGCGCGCAGCGTTTGTGGATTCCCTGTACAAACTTGGTAGAGTTTGAAGTAATCGAGGAGGAAGAGGTTAAAGTTCAAGACAAAGACGAGTAGACTGCCAAGGCTTGATTAAGAGTCAAAGGATCGATTGACAGCCGTGAGCAACTTGGAAGACCTCTGATACATACTTGGCGATTGGAAAACTCATACGGTGGGGTAAGTAGAATGATACGGAAGTTTGGCAATGTCATATATCCTGAGCGAATCTACACAACATTACCAAAGAGCAATCTTACTTAATCATTTTCATTAACAAACTCATATTAAGAACTTCCTCCACATTCAGCTTCTTACCCAATTCTACATTAAGTAAAAATACCGTCTTTTCTATGACAAGCTCTGATATATCGTGAGATTAAATCCTCAATTGTTCAGAAACTACGAAGATAGTGATGCCAATGAAAATAAAGTAACGAGTAGGTATTGGCGAGCGAGATGTTCTATAGAGAGAGCGGTGATGCATCTATTCAAACTAGACATGCTTAAAACACCACATTAGTACTTTGTATCTTATAGCCGCCATTGACAATAAAAGGGTCTCAAAGCATGGCCTATAACACAGGAAATTTGAGTAAGATCAGAGTAACATGAATATCCGAAAGCCAAGCACGCAAGCTGACTACATAACAATAATTATCATGGTCGATTGAAGTTCAATCGTTACTATGAACAAATCCCCAAGGGAGAGGCTGAGCAACGGCCAAGTGGACCGCATCTACAGAGCAGGAGAGTACGAGCTATAAGAATATTCGGATTGGATGAAGTATATTTTGTTCATCCATTGCTAGAATATCTATAAGCTAGCAAGAATCCGCCAGTGTGAAGTATCTTGAGCTAGCAGAATAATTAGAGGACCTGCCTTGAGTTTTAGAATTGTATGATTTTTTGCTCCCGGCAAATCTGCATCACTTTGAATGGTTTCAGTTCCGTAAATATCTAAGTACTATCCAACCAAATGTATTTGTATCTTTTTCTCCGATCCAATTGAGAAACCATCTTCTGAAGGTGCGAATTCGAGTTATAGATTTACATAAATTACTAAATATTTATTCACCTAGAGATATCTAGATCTCCTGTCTAAAAACAAACCAAGCCATTTAACTATCAAAAATCTATCGTTGAGCGTAACATATCTACATCACTCAAAGATCCTCATGTGTAAATCACTCAATCTCCAAACGACCTTGACAGAAAGTATCTCTCCAAATAAATAAATACCAATAACCAGACCATCAACCTGAAGCCAGGACGACAGCTGTTCAAATCCAATCCTAAACATCATAAAGAGTGATTTTATCCACGAATTTAGACGACGATGACCATAAGTTATAAACTGGCTGGGTATCATAAAGAGGTAGTTCACTGACAACACTAGATGAAATTTGTCAAAATTGCTTATTTGAGAGAGATACCAGATCTCATATCTTGCATTCCTAACCTAATTTGACTGACACCAGCCGGTCTCTCCATAGAGCATAAAATATCTCAATAGATACCATCCACAAGAATTCACGAAGATCCTCTCACGCCCAATCAACCCATCCAGCACCCAGATAATCCCCCAACTCCCCTTCTACATTGATCAATTGTACTCTCCACCATATTTCTGCCGTCTAATCAACCAAAACCCGACTTCACAAGCTCAACTACTCCTCATTGATGTAAACGTCTCTGAATGAACTCCCAAACCATTTTCACAACTCCAGATTCACGAGATCCTTCTTCATAGCAAGAGTATTTAACCAAATAGACATTAGCGAGCTGCTGTAGGGGCGTATCCGCTTTGATGCCTTCTTGGACGATAAATTCAGCCAATAGACCTATTGGGATCGGTAAGACTTGCATGCCTATTGTAGGATCGTAGGTTAAATACTGCGTTGTATATTCACACCAAGATTTACAGATAGCGTTGGTAAAAGGTATTCTGACCGAGATTGGTTGTCCAGATAATGCTTTGGTAAATTCTAGTGGGCTCAGCGTGAGAGACGATAAGAGTGCGCCAGTGGAATCTACGGCGTAGGCAGAGGCTCCACAGTTTGCGCCAACAACGCTTGAGGTACCGATAGATTGTTTGACTGTGCTAGAGGTTCCGACTGCCAAGGTGGTATATTCATCGATTTCAGGCAATCGTGGCTGAGTAGCATTCGATGTCTGTCTGTGAGGGACTTCAAAGGGTTAGTTATTAAGACACACTAGAGTACGTTGATAGCAAATAAATAGCTACTCACCAGAAGAGCTTTCCTTGGGGCGAAATGTAAGTGCAGAATGATCCATCTTTACCCTGTCTAAACTCCAAATTGTAGTTGAGATAGGAGAAACGTTTCAAGGGGAAGCAACGTAGCGGCAAGTTTCCTTGATTCTGGCTGTGACAGGATGGATAGAAAGAATAATCAACAAGTTATTAGCAAGACAGTTGATTCTGGTCGAAATCGATGATTGTAGAGTAAATTTCCACATCGCCAAATTCTATATCCATTGAAGCAGATGAATTAAGGTCACATGATTGATCAAATCAATAATCAATCCAGCCTTGCCAAGTAACGACTTGACCAAGAGATCGGTGAATAACTTCCAGCATCTGGGGAGACTTTCATATCCAAATCTTCCATTGTATAATGTCAACCAACATTGGTATACGCATGACTTTACGATATAACCTCCCTAAATAGACGACAATGCGATTTGTAATGCCTTCAGAGAATTTGTGCGACCTTTCCAGGAGATGTTTTCATTATTAAAGCCAAGAAAACTAATGCTCCAGCGAACGTCGATCATGTTCCTGCATGATAATATGCTAATTGCCAATAGCATCTTATTGGTGCGGTCGAACCAATCCTCATAAAGAGCGTGGCAATATCCCGGTATCAACAAGTCGACCAACGTGTACCAAACCTGTACAGCAGCGGGCGTGTACGTGCGAAATAAGCCGGGTGAGAGGTTGTATTCGGAAAATACCCGAGGGTTTCTGGAGGATGCTTTACATATAAATTCGGCCATCATCTCAGTGAAGAAAAGTTATTCTTCAGAGCTCCAAATTTATATGCTTGAGAATATGGCTTTTCGAGGCAAAATTGACAACATGGCTCCTGTACTTTCTTCCAAAGGAGAAAAAAAAAAAGAACAGTTCAATAACATGATGGCGAAAAGATTCGGTTCAAATGGCAGAGATGTGGCGGCTGAGCTGCGCACTATTGGTGAGTTCCCGGGCATCGCATGCTCTTTTATCATACTTTATCGCTAACCGTTACTCTAGCGGACGCCTTAGAAGAGACTCTCGAGTTCCAGCGTTTAATGGGCAAAAGATTGAGAACAGAAGATCCGGAGGGTATGAAGTTTGATTGTTAAACAGCACTTGGAGACTTCAAACTAACGTAATAGCAGATCGACTCCTTTCGCAACTAGCGGATCTAAATTCCAAGGACGATAAGGTAAATGGCGCGCTTGACGACCACACACCCCGGCTACCAACGCCATCTCAAGAGAGGTCTATGTCTAGAGATTCCCTACGTCGTACCAATCGGTCGGTAAACCTCAACGGAACGCATGATGGGCAATCAGATCCTAGATCATATGGAAGAAGTGCTGCGGAACGGCTACCACTAAATAGACACTTCTCTGAAAACGATGTTCCTCAAGAAATTGTGCGCCCAAGCTCCACGCAACCAGGTCGCTCAATGACGCCGCAACCCGCTAGGGCAGCAACCTTTCCCTTTATTAGATCAATGACGCCACAACCAGCCCCCACGAGGATCCATTTCCCCTATCGTTCAGAAGTTCGGCAACATAGCCAGCCACCGTATGCTCGTTCTTCTGGCTATACATCTATCATCGCTCGTGGTGTTCCAGATCGACATCGCAGTCGACCGCCACCCTCTCAGCGTTTATACGAAGTACCTGATCCCCCGCAATCATACGGTTTCGATGTACCTCCGCAAGTCGACCCGAATCCATATTACCGACCCCAAATCACATCCCCTGCTGAACGTGCTTCCCGAAGGGATCGTTTTCCCCGAATGTCCGAAGAACGTAGGGGGAGAAGAATGGAGTCTACTGTAAGACCAAAAGATCACGAGACAATATATCAGGTTGATTCGAATATCATTGAGCGAGAGTATGATCCCGAGAAAGACGAAGATGCTGAATCTATCGGATCCTTGGATCATGTCCAGTCGTTCGCATCACCTCAAACAATCAAACCTCAAAACAGAGTAACTTGGAATGGATCATTCAGATGACAAGGACCAGATGTTTGCATGAAGACTTCTTCAGAAGTCACCCGTTGAAAATTCATCATCAACTCTACACTGGTTGGAAAGTGAAGCACCTACACTTTGTTCTGGGTGCCGTTGTCTCTCCCCTCTACATGGGCCTTTCACTCGCTTTCCTCTTCGTGGCGACTAATCCTGATACACGACTCATAGCAAAGAATGGTACTCTGATATATTATCAGGGCCACATCAACTATTTTGACTTTCTATCCACAATTGCAGGAGGGAAATATCAAAAATCAAATGTTCAAAGGCTAGGGAAAGTGTAGATATAGCCACTAGTTCTATAACTGAAGCCTTCGAACCACCATAACTGGATTTGATAGAGCTGATGGGTGGATCAAGTGTCTTTGGATTGTCATTGTACAAATAAGAATGTGTAGATTTCCTGAGGTGTTGAGAAGAGCAATTGTAGTTGAGTTTGGTTCTGAAGGCATCTTCGGGCCGACAATCACCCGAAAGTCCGTGCAGGAGATTGTTCTTGGCTATTATTTCTTAGAGAAGTAGCCTTCAGGGAGCTCATCAGATTATACAACACAATGTAGCTAATTTCTTTATCTTTGGAATATGTTAAGTTTCTTAGACAGCAAATCACTAGTGAAGTCTATTAATATCATCTTGTAACGCAGTCCTTGATCCAAGATCGACAAGTTCTACATATTATCGGTTTTAGCAATGTAAGTAATATAAGTATTTGTAATATGACATGAAGCTGAATATCCAATCCTGAATTAAGCGATCGTCGGTAGATATTTCTTCACGGTTTTTGGGTAGTATGTCTTGAACGTTCTTGTACACGTCAGGAAAGGGCCAAGAGATATGGTGGGTAACACAACTTCGTTTGATGATCGCTAGTTACACTGAATGTCACGGTGAAAGAGCCTGCTGGACCTTTCTAATTCGGACATCTTGGATATCAGATCAATCTACTAGTTTCATCGTTCATTCTGACCAATCCTGTATGTATGGATAAATCAGGCCATTCCACGTAGTCCATACCTTGAGTGAGCTGTTTGTGTCAGAATCCTTCAACCCTCCTATAAATCGATCCTGATGTCTTGGACATACAATACCGGGCCAAGTATTCATCATGAGACGGGCAAGCAGATGAAACATTGGATAGCATACTCGGGAATGTGAGAAGACATGCCTTTCTGAGCTTCCTTGTTTCCAACTGGTGAATAGTCAGGCTCAGAAATGAAATTTCGGATCTAGAGCCCGGGTTACAAAGCCCCTGAGGGTTTCATGATAAGTCTTGGAAGACAATAAAAACGAAGTGACCAGGAAAATTTACATAAAGTTGGAAAAGAGTGACACCCACCTACCTACAACGCTTCATACTCACCAGGAATAAAAGTGAAAGTGTATTGTGAGGGGACGATCATTCATAATTGCTATTTCGGAAACCCAATAGTCGGCTTCGTAAAATATGCCCCCCATCCCCAAAGACCCTTCATCGGAATATGCAATGCCCTCAGGATGACTGATTTCGCCTTACTCCCCAACAATTCATGGTATCATGTTCCGCCATACTGTAGTCTCATTTGTCCAGTCTCTTAAGCAGTGAAATCATTTGGCCAGCACTTCTCCTTGGTCCATCCCTTGTCTTCGTGCTTTGTAGCATGGCTTATCAATTGTGCCTTGTTTGTGTTGACCAATTCCATCTTGCAGAACTCGCACTATTGGTGGAGTTAGCCTCGAATACAATGAAAGAACGGTATGGATTCTGAGGAAAGTCGCAAGAAATATCTAAGTTGGAGACGTACTTTTGACTTTGGTGCGGCTGGTTTAACTGGAAGACCATTTGCCTTGACCGGGGCGCGGGTGCCTTCCTTATCGGCCTTCTTGTGCTCACGAGCGATCTGTATGCCAAATTAATAATTGCTCTTTAAGTGTTGCCAATGATCAAGATATACGCACTCTGTCTTTCTTTGAAATAGGCATAGTGAAGGATAGACTGGTGAGAGTGAAGATAAAAAGTTGATGAGTGAGATTGAATGTAAATTTGAACTTTGCGAAAAAGAAAGATTAACCTATCGTTGAAAACACTAGCCCAAAAATTAATGCCGGTGAAAAAGTCACACCGCTCGGAAGTTATTTTCCCCGATCGAGCTTTGTACTTAGTCAGCATTTGTTCTCTGGTTGATCTAATCCTCTTCTGTTTTGAATTTTATCTTTAAGAAAGTCCAAGATATAACAATCTGTATCAATGGGAGTCTCCAGAGAAGATTACAACTCATAGACTCAGTCATCTCATTAATAAACGTTTCTTGTTGAATAAATGAAGCTTAACTCCCTGGCTGTAGGTCAATCGAATGTCACGCGATGTGAACCTCTTGTCAAAGTCGCCGTCGAGTTCTTATGCTTCCCTTTGACACTCTCTCCATTTTATGGCTCTGGGAGAATTTCTCGAATCCAGTGGATTCAGAACAGCACAAACTTTGTCTCACTAAGTGGCTAGATCTTGATTGTCGCCTGCTGATTTCAGATTGTGGACATACGAGAATCGTTCTGCGGCACGCTGAATTAGGAGACATAATTTGCATCTGTCTCGGGTGGTCAATATTGGTCATTGTTCGCAGAGTCGATGATCATTATAATCTGACTGGCGATGGCTGTATTCAGGGGATTATGGAGGAAGATTTTTTGAACCGATGTATGATGGTCTACTTCGGATAAAAATATTCACTCTGCGCCGATCTCGAAGGTAGATAGATCTTTTGGCAGTCACCTCGCCCGCTCGAATCAATTGAAAATTCAAGCCGAAGAGTTGAAGCATAACAGCCACTATAGCTTGTACCTATTGCCCTTTGGAAATTGATATGTCCCGCTCTTCATTTTTCGAATTTCACGACATTCCTTTCGTCTTACACAACTTGTCAATCTCATCGTTCGATGCATCGCTCTATCATCCCACCTTCCATACCCTATCTCATTCACCCATTATACCGTCGCCGAGTCGGCCTAGTTCTTGATCTGATTTCATCATTCATAATTCGCTCCACAAGACATACCCTCAAAATCTACGTCTTCCCGATAAAATTTTTTAAGACAAGAGCCAGCACCAGGTATTACAGCTTTTGAAGCTGCTTGTCGCTCGGTGAACGCTACAAATTAGGAGAGTATCTTAATATCCTTCACGTCCCCAGAAATTCTGCAAATTGCATGCCTAATGATCCAATGGTTGAGACATACTGTTTCGTGCTTTGAATGGTCGTCCTAAAGAGGGGTGATGGGGAAATATAAACATACTACCCATCCATGGCTTTTTCTAAGCAGGTAGTACCGCTTAGTTAGAAAAGAGAATGTTATGGACCATATATCTGAAGTGAGCCCAACAACTCGCCATAGTATCGCTAAATGCGCAAATGACGCAATAAATTTCTCGGGAAAGGACACGCACAAAGAATATCAAGACTTCAAAATAGTAGTAAAGATGGGTTAGATAAACCTCATTTGGGGATATCAATACATAGGTATAAAAAACGAACATGAAGAATTTAAACAGCTAAAACACCCACTTGCTGACTCCCGATCCAAACTCATCTCACGTCTCCCCCCCTCTTTCTTTTTCTCCGGCAACCTCCTACCATCATTTTGTATCCTCACCCCACTCAAACCTTGAAAGGCTCTACCTTCTGCACCCCCGAGTAAACAATCTTACTCGTCATCGCCGGCGCCGCCGCCTTGGTACTCGAAGGCTTGACTGAAGTTGCAAGTGTGCTCGACGCTTTCACACTCGAAGGTGTAGCTTTCGCACTCGTTGCAATCGAAGTATGAGCGCTCGACGTCACACTTGCGCCTTTACTCGAAGAAGTCACCGAAGCAGGGTGTGTGGAAGATCTAATAGCGGATGTGGATGTAGATGTAGAGATAAGTTTCACACCACTGCTGCTTGAAGATTTAACCTCAGTGGGTCCTGCTGCAACGACTGAGGTACTGGTGCCTCCATTAGTTGCTTTAATACTCGACTTAGCACTGGCAGTAGCTTTGGAGGAAGATCCGCTCCCACTCCCACTTGCGTTGACGGTAGTATAGATTCTTGTCGTGCTCGAATCCACAATCGTCGTAAGCGAGCCTGAAGCCGATGGTTTCGTAGAAGTAATGCTCGTCTTTGAACTAACATCGCCTGTGCCCGAAAGACGGAAACTTCCAGTTGCAACAGGATGGGTGCCATTTTTGGCCGTTCCAAATGCTCCAGTTTCCGATGTTGCTTTTCCGGAACCAGATGGGGCGACTTTAGAGGCGATTGTTCCACTTGCTTTGGAACTTTCATTTGTGCTAGTACCTCCATTGGAGATAATTGGCACGCTTGTTACTCTTGTTTTGACGCCTGTAGGGGTTGTGGTTGCGATAGCAGCTTTTGTGCTTGAGGATAGAGGAGTAGTGGTAACGACGCTTCCTATACCAGTAGAGGTGGTACTTTCTGTACAGGTCGTATCGATGCTGGATGATGCACCTGCTGTTACGACGGCGGTAACGGTAGAAGGAAGATGAGTGACGGTTGAAACATGTACACTTGTAATCTCACTAATCGCTGTGGCGGGATATCCTGGAATACCGACACCACCAGTGACGGTTTCTAAAACTGTTGCTATGACAGTTGCTGTGTGAGCGTACTCTTGTCTTTTTTCGTTGTTTTTGATCTTCATTTTGTCAGTAATGAGATTAATATCTGAGTTGATATCAGAGGAGGAACTTACAGAGTCTGGAGAGACAGATCCAGGGTCTAGTTGATCAGCAGGAGGAATCGTCTTTCTCTTCTCTACAGTTGTAATAGCATCCGGAGCCATCGATCCAGGATCTAATTGATCCATGGGAGGAATGGTTTTTCTTTCCTCCAATTCCCCAACATTTCTAGGAGTGACCGGAACTAGTTTCTCCAATTCTCTCTTTGAATGGCCAGATATAACAGGAACAAGCTTCTCCAAATCCCTCCCCACAACTGGCACCAACACTTCCACCTCTCCATTAGATCTCTTCTCCTGATCTAACGTCCACGAAGTAAGAGACTCCGCGTCTCGCTTGAACTGCGTGACCGGAACCAATATCTCCAACTCTGCTGCTCTCTTACCTACTGAAGTGAGCGGAACCAGTTGTTCTAGATTAGCCCCCGTGTTGACCGGGAGTGCTGAGATCTGGGGTTATGGGTGTTAGAATCATTTTTGGAAGAAAATATACAAGTTGATATCAGAGAAAAGACAAAAACTGTATCTTACCAAATTCGGTAAAGCAATCAGCAATAATGCTGCTGCTTCTCCCATTGTAAGACGCATCTTGAAATAATTGAATCTGACCCTCAAGACCTCTTTATGCAGAATGAAATAAGAGGCAAAAAAACACGTCCAAGTAAATATATTTAAATCTTTAATATCTCTCAGAACTTCAAAAGATAAAAAAGCTTTCCACAAAAAGAGTGTACGAAGAAAAAATAACGAATGAATACCACAACTTAGTAAAGAGCGACAAATTGCTTTTGCGACGTAAAAAAAACTGAAAACTTCAAAATCACCACAAAAAGATAAACCACAAAAATCAATAACGAAGAATTCTCAAGGAAAACAAAAGAAAAAGTGGATAGAAGAAATAAAACATATGATATACTTATCATACATCCATGCCTACATACTCTTCCCTCCCATCACCCGTCAGCAAGAGTGTAACCTCACCCATAGGATCAGAAACCATAATTTCCTGAACAAACGGGGCATATCTCCTTCCATTAGCATATCATCGCATCCCATAAGTCAAACAATCATCCATCTTCCCAGCATGTCGAATCTCAATTTCCCTTCGTGTATTCCGGAAATCCTCATTCTTTCCTTACCATTTCCATTTCCTCAGCGACGAAAAATGAGATAATTTTGTCCTACCTACCTAGGGACCCTACCTACCTACAGACTCTTAGCTACCATCCATCCTCTCTCTTAACCTCTCCGCCACAAATCATTCATTCCTACCATCTCCCACATCATCTCGCACGCCATCACCTCCCCCATACCACACACCTCATAACCCCCTCCTCCATCTCACCAACCCCCTCACAACTTCGCCATACCATATACCATACCATACATCAAAACCACATCCCCTCAAACCCCATCGCCTCAAACCCTATTCAATCACCATGCACTTGTATTCCCCCCCACCAAACCCTCCACCTCAAAATTCCCCATCAGGAAGCCGCAGGATTCTCAAGGCTCAGCATGCATTCCCATCACTAACCTTACCTATCTTTAATCCCATCCCCTTCCATCTCATCCCATCCCATCCAACTCCACTCCTAACTCCCTTCCTACAATCTCCCTCCTGAAACCTCATCTTCCCTTCTTCCCTTCTTCCCTCTATATGATTACCTACCTAAAACCACTTCAGACCAGGGATACCATTCGTGGCGGTGCACATCACATCACATTATACCTACCTAGTATCCTACCTCTATGTAAGCGAAAAAACAGGCGGAAATTGAGTACCTTTTCAAATGACTTTTTTAATAGATTATAAATACATTTCAAATTAAATATTGAAATTTTAAAAAACAAATAAAAATTTGAGTTTTTTTTGTATTGATATTAAATGGTTTTATTATTTAATATTATAATAAAAAGAGATCTTAGTTATGAAAGTTCTTTCGAATGTTGATTAATTCCCGCCTGTTATTTCGCTGATGCAGAGCCTACCCAGCTAAAAATAGCATTTCCACACCACACCACCCACCTCAAAACACACCAAATTAATACCTCGTAATCACCTCCTCACCTCCTCATCCCCAACACACAAAAATCCCCCCCCCCCCCCCCCCAATCTCAAAACTCCACAAACAAAATATCACATCCAGATATAATACATATATCCTATTCATCCCAACGTTTACATATTTCACATTACATACCGAAATATACCTACTGAACGAACAATCCCTCAATCCATTCAATGAATGTAAAACTCGGGAAAAGAGAGCTTACTAACCGTTCCACGCATCCCTGAAAGAAGGATCATTGCTTACAGTGCTGATTACCCCGAGGCTTATGCTGGAGATTTGACATCGGAGAGGAAGATACGACTGTATGACGATTACTGAAACGCGCGAGCAAAATCATGATGATATTTAAATTAGATATCATATATATATATATGTGTGTGTGTGTGTGTGTGTATGGATTCTACGCATCCCTAGACACCAATATAAGAAGCACAAAGCCCGCCAGCCTTCATACAACTACTTATCTGTTATGTTTCTATGCAACTCTGGCATGCCATACCATGGCTCATGCAAACTGATTATAAAAATCCCATCGAAAAATAATCGCTCATGTATGCGTGATTGTACTGTATCCCGGTCTAGATGCAATACGCGCATCTTTCGCTACGTGTGCTGTCAACCATCTTAACCCCCAACGCCAGCATGCCAGACCACCTCTTACAAAAGAAAATCGTGTATCCAACCACGAGGTATCTCATGAGCGACTTAAAGAATGTGCCAAAAATATCTGTTAGACATTATGTACCTGAGACAAGAACACTAAATTAAACACCAACAACTTGTTCGTCATTGCGAACATCTACACTATCCATGATTTCTGGTAAGCTTGGTCGTTTTGGAGTTTGGGATTCAAGAGAAACTATAGCATATCAGTAACCATATATTTGGAGTTGAGCAGGAAGAAACATACCATTAGGTCGAATAAACCAACTGAAAGTAAAAGCCAACACAAAACACGCCGTTAAAACCAAAAAGACTGTCTGGGTATAGGTGCCAACAGTTTGAGCGTAAATTAGATTAAAAATGGTAGGGCAAACAACTCTTGCCAACGCGTGTAATAAACCAGTAGCCCCTAAAAGTTGACCAATTTGATCGTGGGGTACGTGCTTGGTTAATGCTGATTGTAATGTTGGAGAACCTACACCACCCATCGAAGCCATGATTCCAGATACCACAAAAAGCGGGCCACTACGGGCTACTGTGAATCCTAAGTATCCAATAATCTCGCAAATAATAGAAATTCGAATAACAATCAGATCTGTTGAATCAGCGCCAGAGTGATTTTCTGGAATGACAAGCCCCGATTCTCTGCGCTGTCTTCTACGAGGTATAGTCCGGGCGAGGTAATTGAAAATAGGGAGGATAACGACAAGTGTAAAAACTCGAGTACTGTTGACCACTGACATGTATAGACTTGTTTCGGAAGTCTTCCATCCAAATTGAAAGCCTGAGTAGTAAATGATAACAGTCATGACCCCCATGGCAACGCCAAAGATGATAGTATCGACAGTTGCAAGTAGAACAAGATTTGCGCGGACGTGTTTGGTATTTCCGCCACCGGTGGGCCACAAAACTTTGAGAGTTGAAAGAGGATTTTTGCTTATCAGTGATCCCAACCAAGTTTGATTGGCTGTAAGCAGACCTTCAACAGCATGCTTCTCACGAGCAATCTCTTGACGTTTTTGAGTAAGTGACTCAGGTACTACGAAGAGTAAGAAAAGAATAAAGAAAGTATGTATGCCGAGAGCGACATAAAATACCGTGAGCAGGCTATCGGTTAAGCGAAGTAATGCTGCAGCAAGCAGAGGACCAAATGCGATTCCAGAAAACAAACAGGCGTGGAAATAGGCAAAAGCTACCGCCCTTTTAGGAGGAGCGGTACAGTCTGCGGCATATGCATGAGTGAGTGCCATTCCCGCAATGAAAGAACCGCAAAGACCGTCAAACACGGCACCGGCCAGCAGCCACTTGTATGAAACAATATCTGGATATTTTCCAGCAAGAATGGTAACAATTTCTGTCAAGAAACTACCAAAACTTGAAATCACTAGAATCTTCTTTCTTCCATATCGATCAGACCAAGCCCCAAGTACTGGGGACATAATGGCGCTGATGATTCCAGTAATGACTGTGATAGCCAACATGAACTTGGTGACCAGCGATTGTACTTCAGGAATCCTGCATTGCGGATTGTCGGATCCGAGTAACACAGGTGCGAAAAGGAAGTTTGGATCTTGGGAGAATCTCTCTGCGAGATACGATCGACATACGAGAGCGAGGATAAGATTGAGTTTTGGGACGATGATTCCACCAACTGCGAGAGCTAGTAGGAAGAATGGAAACAAGAGCCAGTATACCTGAGGACAAACATATTAGTATATATTGAGCCAAGAGAGATGGTATAGAACATACAGATGGTTTATGCCACCACGTTAACCCCGCAAAATCTCCATGCCCCTCCCACGATGTCTCCTCACTCCCTCCACTACTTTGCCCCTCGTGTGCCCTCTCATTGCCCAGTAATGGAGCTGTCTCAGACTCCGGTGTTAAAATCGATTTGCGAACTCTCGTATGCCTCCTCAAAGCAGTCATCGCGCCCCAAATGGTCATTGGCTCCTCTGGCCGTTGGTCTGCATGTTCGTTCTCCATTCTCATCGTCATCTTATCGTTGTATCGCCACTCAGTATAAGTTCGATTGTGGCATTGAGTTACAGTGACGTCGGTGCAACCAGGTAGGATAATTTGTTGACAGTGATTTCTCGTGCCAGTAATGTAAATACTGGCAGAGGCTGAAGGAGATTCTATGTTAAATACCAAAAGGAATAATTGATTAGAAATGAGAGTGAAGCAAACCCAAGCTTAACATCTAATCCAGCTTGCCCAAGATAGAAAGATAGTTAAGCAGAAAAGTGGGCAGGCCTGGCTCTGTTTGTGCGCGTTGGGCGATAGGTCGACTGGTAGAGGAGATAATCCACGATAATAACTTCTTTTAAGGTTCTTCGCACGGTTGTCAATCAAATAGTGATTCTCAAGGTCTCGAACTCTGTTCCTTGCTGTAATGAAAGAATGAAGTTCGAGAATAAAAGGAAGCCGATGCTGTCTATCTATCGCCCACACCCGAATTATCGCAAGGCAGATCATACATGACGACATGAACTGATATATTAGCAATATGAACTCGGTACGGAAACATAACCAAAGGCGACTTCCAACATAACATACATATCAAACCCCCAGCAAATTGATAGTTCGAATACCTATCGTACATACTTACCAAGTAATCTTACTACAACACATTGTTTCAAGAATGGAAGGAATGCAATAAAAGGAGATTTCTTGATTGATAATCGCGGTTCCCACTGTCCGATTGGTTCAAGACATCAAAAATGTTTATTCGGGATGGGGATTCGATACTCCGTGTGTGTGTTCTGTGATGGACATCTTTATTCGATGACTTCATCACTATCTAGATAACTCGGTAGGTAGGTATGCTCAAAGCCACACTCAAAAGGCATCCATGGATGTAGGTATCTACCAATACCAACACACATGCTGCATCCATTGTTCACATCGCACATATCGTACATATATATTAACTGTAAACCGTACAATACTACCGAGGTATCAGTTCGGTTGGGTTGGTGGGCGATTATATCAGATAGAAGATATATACATTCATCAATGAAGCAATATTCGGAAAATCAATAGGTTGATCGTTTGTCTTATTAGGTTTTGAAAGCTACCTAGCTACCTATCAATCTTATATTTATACTCTTCTCTGTTTCATTTTCACATCAACTAGTTCCTCTTCGCCAGCCGATGCCTTGTCTAGATGGTGACGTCTGAGGAGCTACTCTGTACGGAGTAAGTGGTGGCTAAAGAGTCCCACATCATGTAGTGACCCGCCAGAGTGTATCAGTTAGGTTAGCGACCAAAATCGGCATGATGTTGTCCCTGATACCGACGCGGACTTCTGAACATATGCATCCCGCTCAAATTCGCTTCATAATTGGCTGTACACTAATTGACTGATCTATTATAATACATGTTCATAACCATCATCTCCCCCTTTCCTTAAACGGCTAATGCTTTCTCGGGTCCAGCAAAGAATTTCTTAGTTTCGGCGCATTTCTCACTCTTGCATCCAGGACATCTTAGCCCCATTTGAACACTACAAGCCACCCCGCTATCCATGTGAGCTTTAGCAATATCGGCTAGTGCTTGGATGAATACTGGAGAACCATTCAAACTTTCGGATCTCTTGATGGTATCTTTGTGGCCAGACTCTCCAATGACTTCTTCATCCAATTCATAAAGTGTTTCGATATGGTCGGATGTGAATGCGACGGGAATAAGTATGAGATTCGTTTGACCTTTCTTAACATACTCCTCCACGGTATCGCTTGTTTGAGCTCCTAACCATGCACTAGGTCCAACTTGTGATTGCCAGCAAAGTCGATATGCATGAGAGTGACCTAATCTTTGCATCACGGCGTAGACTGTAGCAGCAACCTCAGCTGGATATGGATCACCTGAAAAGAGTTAGCGACCTACTCCTTTCACAACTTCGACAGACGTACCTCTATTAACCACCGACATTGGTAAACTATGGGCTGAGAACAGTAACACGACGTCTTTCCTATCCTTCTCGGGGTATGTCGCCAAAGTAGCTTCGATGTTTTGTGCAATAGCTTCAACAAGACCTGGGTGAGCTGGCCATCTATCAATTACACTCCAATCGATTGTTCCATCGCTACCATTTGGACTTCCTGCTGCCTTTCCCTCAAGCCTTTGTCTCCACTTCCATAATTCGTTCAAGCTACTTCCGGTAGTCGAACAACTGTATTGAGGGTATTGTGTGAATGCCACGGCTCTTCCACCTTTTCCGCCACCAAACCCATCTGCCAATAACTTGTTATACATTTCTTCAGTGAGTGGGTTTGCATATCTAAATGCTACGTAAGGTTTATGCGGAGCAGTTTCAGGCGACATCTTATCCAATAGCTTGCACATCTCTTCGGCTTGATATTCTGACCATTTTCGAATTGGGGAACCGCCACCAATGGCAGCGTATTGTTTTTGAATCTTTGGCGTGCGACGTTTCGAAATCAGAGGGCCAACATAGTTTTGAAAGCGTCCAAGAGGAATCAAATCGGCATCTGCCTGTAAGGGAAATTGTCAGAGGTGAGGATGGTGGCGGGGTTACGAGTAACATACAAATAATCTACTCAAGAAATCCCCAACTTCATCTGTAGTCTGAGGGCCACCCATATTCATGAGCACCATTGCCGTTGGTCCCCTCCGTCCCGTTGCATCTTGTGTTACCGGCGGTACCGGAGTCGCAAAAGATCTGGATTGGTCTGCGCTGTTCCTCTGCAATAACGATGTTGTCGCAGGAGAAGTATTACTGGTGAGGCGAGAAATGGTAGCTTGTGAAGCTCGTTTTGTAAGCTGGCCTACAGCTTTTGGAGTTCTGAAAGACATCTTGAGGTATTCAGACAGAAGAGGAAGACGATTATCACTCAATGGACAGATTGAGCATCAAACTCATAGAATTAATTTTGTAAGATTTTATCTTTTCTCAGCGGAGATATATTATAATTTGTAAAGACAACTTTCCCTCTCATCCGATTGCTAGAATATGAACAAGGATTAACATGATGCTTGGATCGACGGACCTCTTGAGATGCCGATGTCTTTAAGCCAATCAGTGTGGAGACATTTGGAATGGGGTTATCACGTGTCAACGCACTCTAGCGTATCTGATGGCTACTCCACTTCCGCGGTTCAACGCGTCTGCCTGATCGTTTGAGCATTTCCATCGTCCCCACCCACATCCCCATTACATATCCTCACATATCATCATTCTTTACTGTAGTGTATTTCCAATCAACATCCATTTACTGTCAAGATTCTGATGTGTAGGAACTCATTGATCTAGAGTCTATATCCTCATTTCATTCCCTTTACTTTCGAACGAGATAAACAAACATGGCAGATTCAGAAAAGTGGAAGCGCGAAGAAGACGAAGAGGAAGAAGAGGAGGAAGCCGATGAGATTGTAGGTTTCTTATACCTCCTTCCAGATCCAATCGACCCTAACATCTACCATTAGGACTATCGCACACAAAAAGATGCAGTTCTGTTCGTCATTGATGTTAGCGAGTCGATGCTTACTCCTCCACCACCTTCCGATTCAAAGAAAGCCGATACAGATAGTCCTACGCTTGCGGCTCTTAAGTGCGCACACATGATTATGCAACAGCGCATTATCTCCAGCCCGAAGGATATGATGGGTATCATGTTATATGGCACAGAAGAAACAAAGTTCAAAGACCAAAGCGGCTTGGACACCTCGGTGTATCCTCACTGCCATCTTCTCACAGATCTTGATATACCATCTGCACAGGATGTCAAGGCATTAAAGGAGATTGTCGAAGATGAAGAGGAAGCGAACAAAATATTGATTCCCACGGAGGAAACTTTAGACATGAATAATTTGTTATTCTGTGCCAATCAAATATTCACAACAAGAGCGCCAAATTTCGGATCAAGAAGATTGTTCATTATAACCGACAAAGATGATCCACATTCTGGAGATAAGTCTCAAAAATCATTGGCTGCAGTTCGAGCTAAGGATCTTTATGATATTGGCGTTGTCATTGAACTGTTTCCAATATCGACTCGTGACCATGAGTTTGATCGCACTAAGTTCTATGATGTATGTTTAGATAACCAAGTCCCCTCCACTTTCGTTACTTTCAGCTAACTGGAGGATAGGATATTATTTATCGTGACCCGCTCGCGGAAGATCCACCAAATATTGGTCCGAATAGTCTCAAATCTAATAGTGATGGTTTGTCTCTTTTAAACAATCTTATCTTGGACGTAAACTCGAAGCAAGCAGCCAAAAGATCTCTATTCTCCAATCTACCATTCGAAATAGGACCTAATCTCACAATATCTGTGAATGGATACAACGTTCTCCATAAACAAACTCCAGCTAGACGTACATTCGTTTGGATGGGAGGAGAAGTCCCAGAAAAGCCAACGTTAGAAACGACACAAATGGCCGAAGACACAGCTCGTGTTATTCAGAAGGTAGAAATCAAGAAGGCCTATCAATTTGGCGGCTCACAAGTTCTTTTTACTCCGGACGAGCAAAAGCAACTGAAGGATTTCGGACACTCAGGACTTCGCATCATTGGTTTCAAGCCTCAATCTATGTTACCCTTCTGGGCATCTGTCCATAAATCAACATTTATATATCCAAGTGAAGCCGACTATGTTGGCTCGACTCGGGTTTTCTCTGCTCTATGGGAAAAACTTCTCAAAGATAAGAAAATGGGATTAGGATGGTACATCGCTCGCAAAAATGCCAATCCCAGCATTGTCGCTATCCTACCCTCAGCTGAAAAATTAGATCCTGCCACAAATCAGCAGATTTTTCCCGCCGGTCTATGGCTCTATCCTATGCCTTTTGCTGATGACCTCAGAAGTGTAACAGCGCCAGCTCCTATCGTTGCACCAGATGAACTCATCGACAATATGCGCGTCGTTGTACAACAACTACAATTACCAAAAGCTCAATACGATCCAAGGAACTACCCAAACCCAAGTCTACAATGGCACTACAGAATTCTCCAAGCTATGGCGCTAGAAGAAGATGTTCCTGACACCCCAGAAGATAAAACAGTACCCAAGTACAGACAGATAGAGAAGAGATGTGGAGCATATATTAGCGACTGGGGACAAACTTTAGCTTCTGAATACGAGAAATGGTGCAGTGAAAAAGGAAATGCGTTGAAAAGAGAGCGTGATGAGGGAATCGATGAGCCTGAGGTACCGAGGAAGAAAAAGATATTGGTAAAAAGTTCGGCTAAGAAACTAGGAGAGATGGATAAAGAGGAGTTGAGCAATTTGGTGTCGAATGGAGGATTGGAAAAATTCAAGGTGGCTGATCTGAAGGATTGGTTATTGGCGAAGGGGTTGAACGGTGCGGGAAAGAAAGCTGATTTGATGGAGCGACTCGAGCAGTGGGTGGAAGATAATTAATTGCTCGGTTCAGGGGAGTCTTTGATATGCGTGATAATGTAAGGGTTTGGCGCAATGGCGTGGGAAAGTTGTAGGTATCATCTTGTACAAGTAGGGATACGTATCTATCATGGTTAAATATGGCTCCGGCAATAATTCGTCATCTAGTAAAGACAAGATGGTAACATGATAGGATTTAAAAGCAGAGCTTGCTTATATTTGTCCATTCGTTTTGCATTCCTATCGAATGCTCAATCTTTGGTCTCAGGGCAGAAAATCAACAATAGATGGTTGTCCCGCGGGCCTGGAGATGATGTTATGAATGCACATTAATCGACTAAATACTCGCACACAAATTCATCATACACACGCGGGCTAGATCGATCAATTTAGACTGTAGTTATTGTCTCCAATTGTGAGATAGGATCCGGATATTGACAAGTATCATATTCGTTCGTTCTCGATCATCTATTTATCCCTTTTTGCGTATAAGATATCCAGAAGACACAAAACATACCTTTGCAAATCGTATGAGCTCTCAATAAATACGTTTCGGTGGTTCTTTCTGCATCCCTAAATATTTTCGAGTAGCCAAGTCTATCGACCTAATCACCATTCCTCAATTTTAGCCAAAGACTCCGATACTGTAAGGTTATTTGAAGTCTTCGTTTTTGTTTATCAGTCTACCCCTGCAGAGGAAATCTAATCATTGCACTCTTATATTCAGAAACATGTCGGTATGTTTACATTCTTAGCTGAATAGATTATAAGCTGGACTAATATAGAAAGATAGGTACTGACTGATGAGCATCATAAAAAAATGAATATAACAAAACAAATAGTAACCCAAGCTTTGCGAAATGAGAAGGAGGGGATATGTATTCACAACGCATTAACCAAATCGATACGATTTCGTCATCGTCAATATCCATAGAGCTATAAATTATAATTCACAACTCCGTTAACATGGTATCTAGAAACTCCAGATTTCATTTCCTGAATCCCTAAAATATACTATCTTAAATCTCAGCAGAGATACACAATCAATTCACTATCCTCAAACCGATATATATCTTCGCTTTGAAAAAAGAAGAGACAGTGAGAAAAAATCACAAGTATTCCATCTCAAAAAATCATCATACCTAACTCAAATTCAGCTCCTCATATCATAAATCCAAAAGCGTAGATAATGCGGACTTATATCTTACGGATTCAGACGCGGAAGAATTTATATGCTATTGTGCTTGTGGATGAAAATGGGGTGTGAAATGATGAAGAAGATGAATGATGGATGATGGATGATGGATGGTGGATTATGGATTAGATGGAGTTTATGGAGTGGAAAATGTTGTTTTGAATGGTTGAAAGATGTTGGATGTTGGATGTTAGATGTTGAGTATAGGTGACTACCTACTTATCAAATGATGGAGCAGAGAGATGATGTGAGAGTTTCTAGCTAAGATGGATGGTCATCGAAAATAGAGCCTAGGATAGATAGATATATTGGTTCTGATCTTATCACTACGTACTGTTTAGCTTTGTGATCAGTACTGCAATGTACAAGAGGAAAACATACGAAGAGTGAGAGAGTAATACCATACATAGTGTGAAAGTATAAGAAGCGTATAACGCCTAATTGATTTATGATATTTTTTTATTTCTCTATTTTGACAAAAGAAAAGGTCTAGCTAACAGTCTGTTGTAAATTGGGGTTCATCTGCTACCTCTTATACTGTATACTGAGTATAGTATCAAGCCATCCCTATTTCTCCGTGCTACTCGCACCCTTTCCTATCCATCAAGAGACCCTAGGTTTTTATGCCATCCGCGACTCCTCCCGAGGAGGTTAATGTCTTAAGCAAGGACTGCACATCCCAACCTCAAAGGCAGCATTTCCTTGCCCTATCTTCTGTAACTCTACAATCCGCACAAGCCCTGATTTCAAACACATCTGTGGTGTTTGTCGAGCAGAAGAGTTGGAAGTGATCCGCGTGAGGAAAACTTATCAACATTTGATTATGGTAGTGGGCTTCTCAATACTCTCTTGTGAAGTACTTGATCGTATAGCGGACACTTCTTCCTTGCTAAATTTGAAGTTTGTGTTATGGTTGCGTACGTTTGAGATAGACACAACCTTGATACATCATCTTCATGTCTGTAGTAATTTGGCCAAATTTTTGTGATTTTCCAGTTGTAACCGCACCAGTTCAATCGGTCGCTCAATTGATTGTTCACTTTCGCGTCGAAAAGAAAATTCATATGGAGGACCTGCGGCAAGAGTAAAATAATGTGGCGGCGCGAAGAGATGTTTGCTGTCATGACGATATGCGAAACATTCCCCTACTAAGTCCGTCAAAATCCAGAACAAGGATAGTGAGCCAAGACCAACTTACGCGCTATCACGACCGAGCCCGAACGCATTTGATGTAATAGCAACCTGGCTATTCTTAT